TTGCGTCCTTGAAAGAAGCTTTTGATAGAGTCAGTGCCCCAGTAGAGAGAAATTCCACCCGGCCTTATGCATCTGGTAACCAGTCACAGTTTCGGCNCGGCCAACATTAAGTTCACTTATATCAGAGGCAGTTTTTAAGGCTAATCTTAAGACTTATCTTTTTAAGCGTGCATTTGATTTGTAGTTTTTACTTTTTATTTGTAGCCTAATTGTACTATATAGCGTATTTAATTCTTAGGATTTTAACTTTTAGGATTTAGGATTCTAGGTTTTTAAAGGATTAGGATTTTAATTTTAGGATTTTAAACTTAGGACTTTAATTTTAAAGTATTGTAAAACGCCATGGTCAATTAGTGGAAAATGGCGCTATATAAATGTACATTTATTTATTTATTTATTTATACATTAGTAAACTGGAAGATTGTGAATAATAGGCACGGTCAATTAGCAATCAATGAATAGCTCATGAACTCTCATAGTCCTGACCTGCCTTCATTGCATGTCCTCATGTCACACCTCTGCTGATGTTTAAGGTTCAATGTAACTTGTGTAAACTAAAGGGAGCTCTTTACCCAGAACAGTGCTATGCAGGTCATTTGAAATATCTGTCAGTTTAAAATTTATTAGTTACTGTAAGTCTTGTGGTCAAAACCACAGTGATCATGTACTGGTAGGAACATTTCCTACATTGGCTGTTAAATATTTTGGCAAAAACAGTCTCCACAGCACTTCCTCGTGTCAACTCGTAATTACTGTGACCAACTGAATTCAGAATAATTTGGCATGTAGCTGTCTCCTAGATCATCTATAGTGAGATGTTTTGAGTGCGATAACTAAATTGTAACAACATTTTAAAATACAAGCAGATGCACTACATTGAACACTTGCAGTAGCTCTTAAAACTTGGGATTGCCATGCAGCTTTCTAAGAAGTCACTTGCATTATGTCATTATGTATTCTGTTTTGGTCTATTCCATTCTAAATTTGTTATCCTAAACAGCAGCATGCTGTAGCTTTCCTTGTTTGATCACTACAGTGTAAGTGGATAAATTTAGCTCTTGGGAAACATAGCAAAGTTAATTCCAAGCCCATAGTCTTTTAAAGTACCAGCTGGTAATTCAGCATTTGCTTCAAACATATTGGCTGGTTCTGTTCCAGGTGGGTTGACAATTATCCGTAACTATACACATGAAACACTTATTATTTATTGATGTATAGTCTCCCAATACCACCAACATTCAAAGGAAAACAAGCATAAACAAAAGGGAGATCAAAAAATAATCAGCTATAGATGACTGAACAATAACATCCGATCCAACAGTAGTAAATTTCTGTTAGAGATAACAGACAGGCAGTGATCATGATAGTGAAAATTCACTGTAAATGAGATGGTATCTTTAATGGACTAGCATCCAAAGCAGGATCCAAAAATCTTGAAAATCGGCCGAACAAACAGATGACATACACACTACAAAAAAAAAAACTAGAAAACATTGAGAGATGTAAAGGGAACTAGTCGAGCCACAAAATTATACTTATAAAACAAGGGCAGAGATCACACAATTACTGCAGTGAAATACCGCAAACATCTGAAAAATCAAGAAAAATGCCCCAACTTAGACTCTGATTTTGACCGTTAAAATGGCAGGGCCTGCCTGGGCCCACTGGACTTTTCTTAAAGTTCAACTCTCGAACTAAAGTTTCACACAAAAATAATTTACAATACTGATCCCTGTTACCCCACAAATGACCAAATGAATATCCATGTCAAGCGCGTGTGATAAACAAACCTTTTAAACATAGCATGATTTCCATTGACTAGTTCTGATGCATAAATTGCTTACCTGCACTTGAGGCTTGGCAAATAACTGGTCTAGATATTACACTAGCAGCTCCTAGAAAAGGTTCATTTGATTCTCATAATGAGTGCAGAAATCGGTCGAGAAAAGACAACTTACTCTCCATTCGCAAAAAAAAATGTGTCCGCCATTGCTCCGGCCGAGACGACATATGATTGGTCGAATACTGTCACATGAACCATGTCTAACACTGCCTGATGCAGAGGCTTTAGCACATGCCTCTTTCACTTGCTCTTTCACATAAGCTGCAAAGTTAAGTTAGCAGTCTAGCGTGACACCAAGGATTTTTAAGGAATCGGTAGTCACCACAGCATTGTTATCTACATGTACACTGAAATCATAGCAATAGGATACTGGGCCAATGGCCATAGCCTGAGTCTTAGAAACATTAATCTCAAGATAGTTTTGTTGAAACCATGTTGATAATAAATGAAGATCAGAATTAATAATGTATTCCATAACTGGAGGGGGAAGGTTCGATGCACATTCAGAAGTGTCATCTGCATACAACCATAGTGAGGTGTTTGTAACTAGAAAGTTCAAATCATTAATATATATGTTAAAAAGCAAAGGACCCAACAGGGATTCCTGAGGGATACCAACTTTTACTGTTTTCCATTCAGAATAAACACCATCAATTTTGACCCTCTGCCTCCTATCCCGTAGGTAGTTCTCCATTAACTCTAATGTTTGGTCAGCTCTAAGTTTTGCTAGCAGAAAGGCATGGTATACAGAGTCAAACATCTTACTCAGATCAACTGCAATTGTGGCAATAGCCTCACGGTTGTCAAGACTCGACCTCCAATCTTCTACCATTTTCAGCAGTGCAGTACAGCAGAAATGACCTTTAAGATAACCAGAGAGGTTAGGCGAGAGACTTGAAAATGCAGAGTACATTTGATCTGCTACTACCTTCTCATAAATCTTAGAGAGTGCTGGAAGGATTGACACTGTCTGTGGAAGAAACAAAGCAAATTTCAAGTTGACATGTTCACACTATTTGCTCCATCCTCCAGGTACATAGCAGAGTATTACAACATGGACCTTTGACTCAGTTTGGACTACTAGAATCTGATCTGCTTGGTCTTTCAAAAAGAAAAGAACACACTCACCTTCGGATTTCCAGTGTCACATTTGCATAACAAGTGTGGTATTTCTTTGTCTTTGCATCTTTTCGTCTTTTCTGTTACACGGAAACTCTTATGATTCCTTCAGATTGATCAGGAATGGTCGCCATTTGTTTTGCTTTTTTTTTTTTTCATAAAGCATGTCAGTGAGGGTGCTGCCATCCAGGCAGGAAGTAAAATGGAATGCATAGCGCTTTGTAATTTTTATTTCTTGTGTGCATTCATTTTTTGTCAGCCAATGAAAAAATTCAAATTTTTTGGTGCGTCCAGAGCTACTCATCAACGACATTTTAAGACGAGTAGCACTGGGGACGAGAATGGTTAAAAACCGCATACTGCCGGGCTAGATGATACCGTGATACCGCATGTTCAGATTTTAATTACCGAAATACTGCGTGAAAAAAAGCTCAATGCCGTAATACCGTAAACCCCAATGTCCCCCTCTGTATTGGCTAATACATTAAGGTATTGGCTAATACATTAAGTAAAGAGACTTAAACCACCAAACTATTAACATTTCAACTACAAATCTGTCAATTTAACAGGGTTTAGTAGCCTGAATTTCAGCCATCTCTCTGAGTTTCCCTCCCAAAAAGACATCTGAAAAGTCTTATCATGAGGGAGGGGCTCAGAAGAAACACCTGAAATTCAGGTGTTTAGCAACATCATAAACACATAACAGAGAAATAAAGATAATAAAAGCTGTCTTTGGAACACAGAGCACACACCTTGGAAGGGTTGTAATTTGAATAATAAATATCAAGATAAAGAGAAGGAAAATGCATGCTGTGTAAGACTTGAACATTCTGTCTTTTTCTTGAGAATACTGCAATGAGAAAAAATATTCTATCAGTCCTTGAGTTTGCCATCCTTTGATGCTAGACAAATCTTTCCTGCCAAATAAAAAAATAGCTCCAAGGTACATAATATATAGATTTAGCCAGGCCTAATAGCGAAGCTCCTGGGCCAGGTTGTTCAAAGCCCGATTAAGCTAACCCAGGATAAGCGAGAATTTTGATTTGAGTTTTGTAACTTTGTGCTGAGGTTTTCTGTACATTGTTTGGCGTTCTGTTTTAAGTCTGAGTAATCTCAAACTACACGCAGCAGAAGCAGTGAAAAACATTTCTATGCAAGAAAAATTAATAATTTGGTTAACTTTTAATCCTATGTTAGCGTTAACTGGCTTCTGAACAACCTAGCCCTGATTACATCAAGCTAACTTGACATGAGCCTGCAATCCAATTGAAAACCAGCACTTGGTCAGCAGTCAACTTCAAAAAAAAAACATGTGACCTCAATGGGGTCTACACTTTAGCCTGCAATGTGATCACGTGATACTGGTCAGCAGATACCTTTTTTGACAGGTGTCAATTGACCATAGCATGAATGTCCAATATCAAAGAAGGACGCTATAAACCAAGTCTGCCTGTCTCTGTAAACCTATCAGCTGGAGTGTGGCCGCAGTCTTGTGCAACTCTGTCATCGCCATCGTGCACACATGCCAACGAGCAATGCTGCTAGCCATGATAATCATGAGAAAATGAATTCACAGGTTTCCTTTTATTTCCTATATGGGTATGGGGCTTCGCTTGGTGGCCCTTTGGGCCCCTGCTGGAGCTCCGCTATGAGTCCTAATACTATTACTACCATAAAGTTGTACATCGCAACAAATTACAAATCAAACCCCTGTGGCTGGAATATGGCATATACATAGGAAGCCTTCCATTAAAAAATGTAAACAAACCCTTATGCGTGCTCAAAAGATTGAAGAAAATCATGTAACATTAGAATGCTAATCACAGAGGCCTTGGACAAGAAATCGAGAATAAAAATTTTGAATGACGTTTCCATGGCTCGTTCATCATTTTAAAATTTGTAAAACTAAAAGTCAGATTCTCATGAGTTTTTTATATACTAAGAATGTATGTGAAAGTCTTGTTGCATGTGATCAAAAACTCTACAACGTGGAATGTAGAGAGTGTTGATTAATGTACTACATAGTTTTGCTTTGATAGAGTCAGATTGAGCGTTCAGTTTAGGTTTCTTTTCTTGGATAAAGAGCATTTCGTAAATTAAGTATTCAAATTCCCACATCATTTCTTAATGGTAAATTGTTCCTGAAGATCTTTGTTCCTCAGATAACATCACCCAAGTTGACCTTGTTGAGCTTCTATCAGTGGCTACAAAACGTCAGCTGTTTCAATTCAAAGACAGCCTTAATGAACAAACTCATGGAGTAGCAATGGGCTCACCCCTAGGCCACTCATGGCTAACACATTTATGTGTTTGATCGAGGAGAAACTAGAAAGCGAGGATAAGTTACCATCTTTTTATAAGAGATACGTGGATCACACCTTAGCTGTGGTAAAAGATGTTCCAACTGCTACAGCTTTACTGGCAACATAAATGAGGTACGCCCAGCAATCAGCTTCACAATGGAAGTTGCAAACAACAACAAACTGACATTCATCGGAATGGAGCTCATAAAGACTGGAAAACAGCTGAAAACATGTACATGTCTCTACAGGAAAACAACATATACTTCTCCACTATCAAAGTCATGTCGGTGCCCATTACAAATGATCCCTTCTAATGACTATGTTAAACCGTGCTACCTCACCAGATCTATTTGCTGAAGAATGTGACAATTTGAAAGGAATCTTCTTGAAACTGAAGCTCATCAATTCCATCATAACTAGATTCATCACGTCGCAAAATCAAGCAAGTTTGCGATGTTCAAGAAAATGCTCCCGTTCAGATTATTCTGCTGTTCAATGATCAAAGATCAGCTGACATTGTACTAAGACAGCTGTCCTGTCTTGGAAAGAAAATAAACAGTGATTGGCACCCAGTCTTCAAAAGCAAGAAAGTTGCCAACGACATCAAAGTACCAGAGGCCAAACCACCATTAATAAATCAACAATGTGTTGTCTACAAATTCAAATGTGATCTATGTCATGCGGATTATGTTGGCAATACTCGCCGACACCTTTTCCAATGCATTGAGGAACACAAGCATTCTGGTGTTGGAAAACACCTGGATGACGCCTACAATCAGAGGAACAAAGATCTTCAGGAACAATTTACCATTCTTAAAGGAGGTCACTCCGAAAAACGTATTTTTTGTCAATGCTAAAAAAAACCTCACATTAAGTTTAGCCACTCACTGAAGTTTCAGCCTTTAAAGTGCAGGTTTTCCTTTTGAAATTCATCTCCAAAGAAGCCCAAAATTTGACATCGTTGCTGCCATTTTGAGCAGTACTCAGCAGCCAAGAGGCGTTTTCGTGATGTCATTCCATTCAAGAGATTTTGTCCAAATGGCTTCCGGCAAGCCTTTAAATATCACTCTGGGTTATGGCTGCATTTGAGTCATTATTGTGAACCAAACATGCTCCAAACTCTGAAAATGATAGCAGTCAAGATGGTGAAGTGGATGATCGCTTGGAAAAACACATTTTGCTGACCTTGTGAAGGATAGAAAGTCAGTTGCAGGTTTTTCTCCTTGCCGCCAATTTTGAGTTGGACGTAATAATGTCACATTAACACAGTCTGGCTGGCAAGTGGCAGCCTCCAAAGTCGCTTCTGCTGAGATCAATTTCTTCAGGATAGTAGGCACTTCAGAGGCTGAAACTAAGGTGACTGGAAAAGCTGAATGTTTACTAACTATAGGTGAAGACAAAAAAAGTAAGCTTTTTGGAGTGATCTTCTCCTTTAAGAAATGTCACAGGAACGCTTAATTTATGAAATGCTCTTTATCCAAGAAAAAACCTTAACTGAACACTCAATCTGACTCAATCAAAGCATAACTATTTAGTAATTCATTACCACTCTCTACATTCCACGTTGAAGAGTTTTTAATCACATGCAACAAGACTTTCACATGCATTCTTAGTATATAAAGAACTCGTAAGAATCTGACTTTTAGTATTACGATTTTGAAAATGATAAATGAGTCATCAAAAGGTCATTCAAAATTATCATCGCTAATTTTAATTCTTAGCATTAGAATGGCAGCTAAAAATGATGACCAGATGTTGACTGGAAATTAATGAGCACTTCTACCCCTTTACTTTTCTTGTCAGTGGTAACAATAAACTAAAGATAAGTTATTTGACAACATTTTAAATAGAGCACGATTCAGGTAAAATTTATGCAAACTTTGGGTCAAAAGCATGAGACGACATCTCAAAAGAAATTTACAGTGGTTTGATTTTTTCCTGATGTTACAATTTTCCAGGCATCTCAAACAAGCATACACACCATAACCACTGGTGGAAAAGGCCCCATCTTTTTAATAAAAATTTTTGCAACAAAGTAGGAATGAGGATTATCTGCAAAAACATCTAGACAACTTGCCGTGAATTTGCATTAATTTTATAATTTACAATTTTTCCTCAAACTAATAGTCTTCTGTATGGAAGACTAATACGAACAAGTTGCAAGTTTTGTGACTCCTAAAAGAGCCGTTTTTGTTCCTAAGCATAAGCTTACATTTCTCGCTGTTAAACAGCATTTAATAAACCTTCGTTTAAACATCTTTCAACATGTTAAAAGTCGCCTTTCTGGAGCAGCTAAACATCACTTGGCAGAGAATCTCCATTCTGCCACAAGCTGTTTACAAGTACTGCGTTGATGTCAAGTTTTGAAAGCTACTTTGTAGGGTCAAGTACTCCATCTCCTGGTCAAATGGCTGGCTACTGAGCTAAGAACGAGTGAACGAAGGAAAAACATTCTTCAAGCTGTGTGTAAAACTCTCTTAAAATGCTAACAGGATGAAAAAATACGGGTTGAAAAATACCAGAGAAAGATCAACCCATATGTGTAAGTCGGTTGTCATCATATCCATACTATTACAGAGCTAAAATTATAGGTAAGGGTTTCAGTTTGAACTATTCTCTGTTTTCAAAGTTAGTGAGTTTACATTGGTTTACATTCAATGAATCAGTGAATGAGCATGTAAAGCATCTGCCTTAAACAAAATGCGAGTTGCCAAGTTCAAGGTTTGGCTTATCTGCGAGTGCACCATTGTCCGTCAATGTTTACAGTATGGAAAATGTTTCTGTGGCTTCTCCTGTAACCTCTACTGTCAAGTTTCTATCAAAAACGTCTTACAACCTTGTTATAAATGCTGTCCTTGTTCTGTGAATTTTTGAGGCTTAAATATAATAGCAACACAAAATGAAAAGTAGATATCATGACACTGCAATTAAGTCATAACTTATTAAGTATTTTACAGTTCATTGTATTAGTACTGACAGATCAATACATACAAGCTCTTCTTTATCTGGATCCTTAAAATTTAATGTAAGAAGTATTGGTCGCACATAGTCCTTCCGCAGCCTGAAATAAAGTAACATGATTCAATCTGATGCAGCTGTAAATCATTAAATGCACAAAATGAAGGAAACAAAACAACCTGTCAGAACACTAAATAAAATTACTTGTCAATACTGCGAGCCTCGATGGAGCTTCCCAGAAATTCATTGACCTCATCTTCTGGATCTTGCTGATTCGATGCTGTTATACCTAACCTGTGAATCAACATGTACATCTTTATCAGGTCCGAACAGCAATTTAACAATACTAAGTGACTTCACCTTTTTGGCATAATTTTCTTCACAGATAAATTATGCTTCCTCTTATCTCATTTGTCCTGTCCCAAAACACAAGAGTCAAGTAAGATGGCATTGGCAGTAAGTTTCAAAGTCAGACCAAGGAGAAGTCTGTTCCCACCCTAGGGGTCAGCACAGCCAGATGGCCCACCAGTGCCAGTAGTTAACAATGTTATACCCAGCCTGATTTATGAATCTTGATTAGGCGTATAGACTTTTGTAGAGCTCTATGACTCTACGGTAGTATTTTGAATCTTTAAGCTCCGTTCCTCTCAGATATGTGGTCACCACAGAGGTGTAGTGGCGTATAGTTATTGTAGCAAATATTATATCGCTTAAGGAATGTTGAGTGTTATTACAGATTACAGTGTTTTAATAATCATTTTCAATTTGCAATTCTGTATTGAGTTAACCCTGACTACACTCTATGCTCTTCACTATTTGTTCTTCCAGCTACAGTCACCGAGCTACGCTCTAAAAGCTCTGACATTCCATGTTTACCATCTACGCTCTACGTATTTACGAGTTTATCAGTTCAAGAATTTTTGACTACTCTCTACACTAGCTTAGAGACTTAAAGTGCCCATAATGTCAAAACTTTTTTTTTTTCACTCATTCTACATTTCACCTAATGAGCTTCTGTGAAAAAATTTTTCGATTTGGATAAAACACAATTTTTTTACGAATCTTTACAAAGTTCAAAATTCTATTTTCTTGAGGTTGACCCCTGCCACTGATCATAAGAATAATGTGCTCAAAATGGCCACAAGACTTATGCCTGTGACGTAGGTTCAGGAACCTACGATGAGGACTGATGTTGTTTTTTGGATCATTAACGTTGTTTCAAAGAGCAGCAACACACCTTTCCGGCATTTTCAACTAAATGTACACAACTCTGAAGCTAAATTTCCACTTGTTTTTAAGTCAAATAAGTCATGACCCAAATCACATGTTCCTGAACCTACGTCACAACTCACTTCAAACCGAGGAAGACTGGTGCGAATGGTGGACCAAAATGGCGGCAAATTTGAACGTCTTTAAAAACTTATAAAAAAAATGCATTTCATCCAAATCAAAAAACTTTTTCACAGAAGTTCATTAGGTGAAATGTAGAATTAGATAAGCAAAAAAAAATTTGACATTATGGGCACTTTAAAAAACCAGTAGAGTGATAAAAAATATTTGGTTGTGAGTGCGAGTTTCTCGATCCTCTGCAATGCTGTAATTTTTTTAATTGTAATTTATTGGCTTTGAATTCTTTATTATCTCATATATATTTAAGTGTTATTAAAGTGTTATTACAGTTAACAGTATTTTAACAGTCTTTTTAATGTACAATTCTGTATTGAGTTTACCCTCTACACTCTATGTTCCACCATCTACATTCCACTCTCTATGTTCTACCAGCTACTCTCTTCAATCTACGCTCTAGGATCTATCACCTACCCTCTAAGCCCATCTATGCTCTACTCTCTACATTCCACCAGCTACTCTCTTCAATCTACGCTCTACAATCTTACCGTCCACCATCTACCCTCTAAGCCCATCTACACTCTACTCTCTACATTCTACCAACTTCTCTCTTTGATCTACACTCTCCGATCTACCCACTAAGCCCATCTGCTTGGAAGGTTATTGGAATTTTTCAATTTTTTTTTTAATATTTTAATTTTTTAACGAAGACTAGTGAGCAGCACAAAGGAAGACTTCTTCTATTTCTCTGTCTGAGACTTCTTCAGGGAATTATTACAACTAACATTGAACAGCATATATAGCACATAAGCGTGCCTAAGTTTAACTTCCCATGGAAGTGAATAACTGCTGAAACATGCTGTAAACAGATGTTACAAGAAATGCCTTGATGCATATGTTATTGCATGCTGTTATATTTTGGGGGCCATATGATTAGTGCTAATTGTATGGCCCCCAAAAATCATAGTATCTACATAGATGTGCTAAAGTAGTAGTAGATTCATAACTGACAATACAGTCTACGTCTGGTAAATGTCTCTGGATAACCAGCTTGATGCTCTGCTACAAGTATGGTTCTGAGTTAAACCATTTATTCGAACTTGAAATGAACAGCAATCTCTACGATGGATTATGACCCTAAAAACTAGTAAACAACATCTCTACATGGTCGCAAAACATCCATTAAGCGTTCAAAGTCACATGATTTAAATATTCACACTTCGAGTACATTATAGTTCTAGTTCTCTTAAAGTTTGCTGTAAGGAGTTCTAATGGGCAGATTCTGGTGATCGGTCTCAACAATTCCTTGCAGCCTACTCTGACTTTGACTGCTCTCACATGCTCGTCCTTTCCTGGAAAGACCATTATGACTCTACCGAGCGACCACTGCCCACACGGGGTGTCCGGTGCCACTAACAAGACTACATCATTAACTTGGGCATCTTTTTGTTCCTTCCGCTACTTGGACCTACGATTCAAAGTTGGTAACCACTCTCGCAGCCACCAATGCCAAAAAAGTCACACTATTTCTTGCACCCGTCTCCATCTCTTCTTGGGACTGAACTGGCCACTATCAACTGAACCAGGAGAGAACTGGCCTCCTACTTGTCCAATCAGGAAATGATTTGGGGTGATGGGTGTGTCATCTGAGGGATTGGCAGACTGATATGTTAAAGGCCTGGAATTTATGAGTGCCTCTGCACCCATAAATGCTGTCATCAGTTCTTTATCGGTCACATCTGCAGTTCCCAATATCGCATAGGTTGCTCTCTTTGCTTATTTGATCATTGTCTCATGCACCCCACCAAAGTGAGGTGCCCAAGGTGGATTGAGACTCCACTTGATTCCTTTGTTGGCAGCTGATTTCTCAATCTTGTCTTGATCCAGTTGTTCAACGAGCTCCCTCGACTCTCTTTCTGCGCCTACAAAATTAGTTCTGTTATCAGAAATCAGCTCTTCTGGCAGCCCTCTCTGATTGGCCATGCAGTAAAATGCGTTCAGAAAGGAATCCGTGTCCAGCCCATAGGTCATCTCTAGGTGAATAGCCCTTGATGTTAGGCATGTAAATAAACAAAGGTAACTTTAAGCTCTCTCCCTGCCCCTTGCCTGGATAGTTACAAATGGTCCTGCAAAGTCAACCCCTGTTTGTGCGAAAGCTCGTAAGGGCAACTTCAGTTGAATCTTTGGTAGGGGAGCCATTATCTGTTTAGCAGCCTTGCCTTTCTCTTCCGACATTCACAGCACTCTCTTTCCCAGTCACGAATCTCCTCTCTACCTTGCATGATCCAGAATCTGGCAGACAGCAAAGACAATGTGTGATTGGTTCCCGCTCCATGGTTACTTCTTTCATGATAGGACTTCAAAATTAGTCTGGTCACCCCACTTTTCCTCGGCAGAACGACTGGATATCTAGCATTGAAAGGCAGGTAGTTCGCATAGCGCAGTCTCCCACTTGATCAAAGCAGACCATCTTCATCTAGGATGGGGTTCAAACTTAATGGAACAGACTTGAAATTGGCCAGTGCCTTGTATTCTTCTTGAAAGGCTTCTTGTTGCACCTCTATGATGACATCAGTCTATGCCTCCGAGATCTCTTGACTGGCAAGTTTTCCAGAACTCTTCTCTTCTGGCAGCGTTCTGGAGTTGTTCATGAATTGATGTACCTATGCTCTAACTCTCAATAATCTGGTCCAGCTTGAATATCTGCTGAGGTGTAAATGCCAAGTCACTTGTGGGGTCAGCGCGAACAGTACTGATTCTTTTTCTGGCACATTGAATGTTGTCCTCACTTTCTTATGGATTTCTAGTGTTGCTTCAGGAGTTACATCAATCTCTGTTTTTGGCCATGTGTCTTCTGGCATGCTCAGGAACTTTGGACCCTTCCACCACATCTTGTTTCCTTTTAGCTCAGTCCCAGACATTCCTCTGGTTGGCAGGTCAGCAGGGTTCTGGTGTGTCCGAACATGACACCACTGAGTAGGACTGCTTGAATCATGTATTTCTCCTATCCGATTCGTTACGAATGGTCTGAAACTGCAACTGGGTATTTGTATCCACCACACCACATCCATGCTGTCACTCCAGAATGTGAGTAGGTTCTGGTCAATCTTAAGAACCTTGGCTATTGACAGGGTCAATCCTAATGTCAAAACAGCTCCCATAAGTTCAAGTCTCGGAGTGCTTGTAGCTGATCGTGGTGTCACTCATGTCTTGGAGGCCACTACGCTGGTAGATACTGCATCACCCTTGTATCTGTACCTAATATAAGTTGCTGCACCATACGCATACCCTGATGCATCTGTGAAGGTGTGCAAGGTAACTGTTTCAACATCTGAGTTCAACTGCAGGCAACAAGAGACTTTGAGCTCTTCAAACCACTTCTTGGCCTGTCTAGCTTGGCTTTGGTTTAGAGGGTCATCCCAATCTAATCCTGAGGTCCACATCTCTTGCAGTAGAATCTTTGCCCGGATTACATATGGTGCCAAAAAACCCCATAGGGTCAAACAGCATGGCTATCTTCTGCAGGAGACTTCGCTTGGTCAACTGGAACTTCTTGTCAGGTGGATTCACTCTGTAAGTGAAAACATCTTCCTTAGCCAACCACAACAAACCAAGCATCTTCAATGACAGTAAATTTCCTTTGTTTAAGGCCACTTCTGCAGCCCTGTCTTCTTCACGTATCTTCTTAAGAGCATAAATCCGAAAATATCGCGAATCGGCCGACAGAAGCGAAATAACAAATTTTTTCTTATTTGACCAAAAGAACCTATTTGGTTAACTATTTTCGGAAATGACATCAAAAGGTTCAATTTCCTTTTCTTTTCTTCAAAATTTGCAAAACTTGAAAATTTGGCCACAGGGCCTTCAGCGGCGGCCATGAGACTTGAAATTTGGCACATGTTTAAGATATTCGTATGGACGTACCAAACGTTTTCTTAACATGTCCTTTACACAGTTTGTGGGGCATCTCTTAAACTTTTCTCGGGACTAAATTTTGTTTAAAAATGTTTTTTTGTACAAAATAGTTAACCTTCGGAAGCTGAACCATTTATGGACCTAAAGTGATGAGGCTAATATTAGCAAACTTTGAACTTGTCAAATGCTGTCTGTTATATTACAGTTAAGTAAATAAATATAACCAACTAAAAGCAGGTTCTTTATTCTACTCGCCTGGAAAAANGTATCGACGTGTCGAAATACATTCAATATTTTTCGATTATCTTGTAATATTCAGACATTATTTTACTGGGAACAGAAAGCTGAGTTGTATGCTAGCTACCACATCCGATTGATTTCCTAATATAAAGATTTAAAAACAAAAGTTGTGTCGTGGTTTTCTTTAGTTATCAGACGAAACGCGATCAAGTCGCCAGCTGGCGACCAGTTCTGAAAATTTAGTCGCCAGTGCTCAATTTTTGGTCGCATTGGCGACCAGTGAGTCACAATTTCAAGCCCTGATTTTGCTTTGTTTTCAAGATAAAATGTATGCAAAAAAACTTGATTTCCTCTGGCGGCATCTTTAGGTGTTTATATGTTGAAAAGTCAGCGTCTGACCATAAAGATTTTTTTCTCAATGTTGATTTCACTTCAACTTGTGACCGCAAAGATGTTGACTTCACTTCAAAAGCAGCGAAATGTTGATTTCACAAGAACGCGTAAGTTCAAAGATGTTGATTTCACTTTAATCATAGCAAAATACTGATTTCACAAGGAAACGACAATACCTCGACTGCATGGGTATCAGTTTGTTCGAGCAATCAGAGCACATTTTGGTTCTTTAAAATGTGGTAATGAATTACGGGTTTTTCAAGGCTTTATGATGCCTCTTAACCACCAGGCAGGCAGGCAGGCAAGGTACTTTAAAAGAACACTTTGATTGTTAGTTGACAGAGCTCTAAAGCAGCGCATCTCTTCTGTTTGATAGTATTTCCTTTGACACCCGATCAATTTCACATGTGTGTTGCATGTCACCACAACCGATGTAAACAATGTTTCCCAGATTCCCGCTTTGTATGCTATTCTCCAACTTACAAGGAAGACAGCTAACTGATACTGCTGGATTTGATTTTGACTTCGAACGCTACAAACAGAAGCTACATTCACGCATCCTACTGACATAAGACACTCCCTTTGTTGCTCCAGAAAATCAAAGCTATCTTGACCCAAGCAGATTTTCTTGCAACAATTTGCAAACAAGTGAAAAAAGTCCACGTCAGTATTCAAAATATAATTTGCAGTCAATTTACTGAGAATGAGGCGCTTCATTTGAGAGAGTGTCTGTTTCCTGTTAAACAAATAAACTCCTAAAAACACAGCTAGAAAAAGCCAAGTTTGTTTTGAATACATTATAACTCAAAAATGAAGCAAAAACTAGCAACAAAAATACACAATGTTTTTCCATTACATTGAAGACCATTGCGTGAAAATTTAGGCACTTTTGAGAAATTTTTTTTTTCACCCAAATCATCACTTAGTATGGTTTTGCACTCACCCTTTCAATTAATTGTGAGTTCTCATGCAAATTGTGATATTGAAAGTCTTTTGTTGAAAAAGTATTGTCCAAAAATGTAAATGATTGTAGTTTCATGACGACAAATTTTATTTCGACAAAAACTAAAATACATTTACAGCCAACGAATGTCAAAGGAAGGTATTGTTTGCAAATGTTATTCTTGAACGTTCCTTACCTGCAAATGAAGGTCATAATGGTGTTAATGAGAGTATATTGATCATAAAGAAACAAATTTGGACACAAATGAAAGGATATTTTTTTGTAAATGAACATGAAAAGGTGTATACATGTATGGCTGTGTCTCACAAGGACTGGGAAGTACCACATTCATGAATTTGATTGGCTGAAATCGATATTGAAAGCTATCTAGAATTTCCTATCTAGACTGGTGATGTTTTGTGGTGAAAAAGTTGCAAACTAAAATGCAAAAATACTGATCATTTTCTTCTAACAATATTTATTTATCGAAGTGCCAAAAAGCCTGATGAGAAAAAAAGTAAAGAGGACGAGTAAACTTTGGCAGAATTAAGTGCAGCTCATTGCCGGTCACAAGCAAAATGTGAGTTAAATACAAACCAGTTACATTAAACAAATTTGCCTTATAATAAAAACCTTATTAACCGAGCTTGGTCAGTCTGAATGGGAGAATCTTGACCTCGGTCGTGCATACAGACCTCACCGCGTTCGGTCGATACTCAGGACCCTAATCAAGATTCTCCAATACAGACCAATCATGGTGCAGAATGAAAACTAACAAGAAGACGACAGGCAATTAAGTTTATTCTTCTCTTTAATTTCTGGTTTTAGATTACATAATATGAGCATTTGCAGTACTCAAATAAACATGTGGGTTCCCTATGGCAATGGCCGCCTTATCCCGAAAACAATCACCCGAAATTACTAGTACCCAGTCTACCTGTCTGCCGCATCACATCTAGTCCTCAAAGCCACAAGATAATCACCAGCTATATGGTATAATGCAACATATTGCATAATCCCACAATACACATTCCAGAAATTTTCTCTGGTGTTCAAGGTTTTATAGGAAAAACAGTAACTGTACCATTCTTGGAGTTTCTAAGTTACTTACCTATCCTTTAACTTGTCTGTGTCATCCTGCTGCTTGGTCTCTTTAATAACGGTATCATTTCGCTAGAAATATTGCAAAAGACGCCTTGCTTTACAATCACCTTTAACATAGTTGAAAATATGCTAGCTTTTTAAATTAACTAACTCAGAAATCTTTCCACTTGTGTCATTGGAATTTCAACAAGCTAATTAATGACCAAGAGGCAAATACAAAATCTACAAGGTGCTAAGTCAGTCAGTAAGTCAGTAAATCAGTTGGTCAGTCAGTCAGTTGGTCAAACTGAGTTCGAGGTCCATACTGTAAGTTACAAATCCTCGTCTTTTCCTCTTTGATTTATGGCCAAAGCTCAAAGCCTGCGGGCCAGAAATGGAAGGGGAAAAACAAGGATCCGTAACTTAAAGTATGGACCAAGAAGATGAGGTTAATAAGATATTTATTATACAGGGTTTGAGCTAGGCCACGCCATTGGGACAGTCCAACACTGCAATTGAAATTGTTTGTCCGCTTCATAACTTTGGGGAAAAACTCAGAAGGAAGCACACATGAAGAGATACAGTTCAGTAAGGAAATTACAAGCTGAAACACAGAACGTGCAATAAATTTTATCCCACATTTCAAGTTCATTCTAAATTCACAGTCATGCTCTAATAATCACTAAGCCAAACAAATCCGACCAAAATTTTTGCATGTTTGTATTCTTTACCTGTTTCTTTTTTCTTTTTCTTTTTCTTTTTTTACTTTCCTGAACAGTAGCTAAGACTTTTTAACAAAAAAAAAACTGCAACCAAAAAATAACAGCGTGGGAACATTCTTCCAAGGATTTCAATGTGGGTTTGTCGTGGTCAGCAGTATTAGCCCCATGTAAAATGGCACGAAGTGCCCCTATTTGAAAACGCTTAGGGTGCTTTCCATTATACCAAAGATTCCCGAACTTTTGGTCAGAAGTCAAATGGAAAGGTCTGTTTCAGTTCCTTGCGACCAGAGCATTCGGGGTCACCTCTGGAGGTGATCCCAATATTCCAGTCAGAATATTCCAACTGAGATTTGCCGTTCCATTTTTACAAAATGGTTCATTGCCTTACTTCTCTTCACTTAGGTAGGAAATTCAGAAAAGGAATTTAAAAATGGTAAGAGCCATTGCTCTTCGCTGAACCGGTTTGATCGAAAATTGTCGTTTCATTTTCCTCCAGTATTCCCACTGGTCTCTGTCCAGTCACTTTGGCATAATGGAAAGCACCCTTAGATTTTGGTGACTATGGCTACAGGGCTTGAAAAAAACCTCGTCCGGTCGTCCGGGACAAGTAGATTTTCCCTTCAGGCAAGTAACTTTCTCTCCTTACTTGCCCTGTGGGAAAGGACCCAGGCAAGCCATTCGCCGACTAAATTTTTGATAATGATTTTGAGAAGAAAAGGTAAATTTTAGGCTCAAGGGTAACCAAGTGTTTAGATGAAGCTTGAAGAAAATTACAATTTATAGCGTTGTTTAGTTGATTGCGTGACACATGATCACGGCTCAGAAGTGGTTGCCTAGCACGTGATCAAAATCTGCCCCGATCAAATTTCCTTCCAGGCTTAAAACTAGCCGCCTCGGGCACGAAAATGCTGTGTTTATTTCTTAAAATTGTATCAATTTTCTGTGAGCATTTTCCAGTTTCTCTGTGCAAAACTTAACTCAACAATGATATATTAAAGTTGTAGAAATTGTACGCGAGAACAAGCCGCATATTTGTACCGCGAAAACGAAGTCAGCATTTTTGATGCTAAAATCCAGGTAAATCTCTGTTTTCGGCAAGACATACAAGTTTGCTAGTGATAACATAGTTATGCGCCGCCGCGCGAAATGAAAAGTATCATATTATGAAAAAACAAATGGTTAAGTAAGTCATCAAAATACTTTCAGGGTTCTTGGAAGATGACTTAAAATAGTGTTTCTTTCAAACGAAGACATTTTCCCTCAACTGAAACTATTTTTGATTCACTCAAACGAAAAAGTATGCTCTCGCCAGCTTTTCAAATTCAACACTGTGCCTGTGTCAAAACTGAAGTGGGAAGGCGACTTGTTGTTAATTCAGTTGTGTGTTACAAATGTCTCGCACTTCTCTTTACAATGATTTCGTGGAGCTAGACAAGATGCAGGTGAACATTCAAGGAGTCGAATGCGATCTTCAACGAATTGAACAAATTGATTCAAGGTTGTATAATAACAATTACAAAGATACCCAGCGTGTAATACAGGAACTTAAGGAAGTAAGTACACGAACGAACAACAACACCTTCGCAAACTTTGTTTCTTGAACAGGGAGGCAATGGCAAAAGATGCTGTGGGACAAAATTTAATTCCTGATGACATTTTTTTAACACGTTCGAAAATTCAATCTGATTATAACAGTGTGTTCATTCATGTTAATTATAACAAACCGTACAACTTCATAAAAGCAGAATGAAGAAGTTTAAAGTTCTGGAAGTATTACAATATAATGGCATTAACATGAAAGTGATCAGCACTAAGAGGACTACAGTTAAGGTGGGTTTATTACATTAAAACACGCCTGTAGTTTGACTTCCATTTTTGGGTCATGAATTATTCATGAGTTTGAAAACTTGGGCAAGCTGGGAAGTGCCCCGGGCAAGCAAAATTTGAGAGTTATTTGCCCAACGGGCAAGATGGCATTCGAATATTTTTCGAGCCCTAGCCGCTACCATTTTACAGAAGGAGGTTGCTAAAAGGTGATTCCTGAAAAATAAAAATGTCCTCCAAAATTCTAGCCAAGGTGACAACTTGTCCACCAGTGATCAAATCCTAGCTTAAACCCTGATTATATCTCTTCTGTATGCCAGATGGGTTTGGGAATGATTTCTATTCATGCAGAACCACTTCAAATTTCTGACACAAGTAAGAAGAAAAATGAGTCAATTTGAAATTGTTGTAAAGTTTTTAGCACATTTTAATACACAATTTAAAGTAAAAGAAAGTTTTAATCATGGCGTGGTGCGGGTCAAATGTAAAAACTTCCAAGGTCTTGTTTTCATTCCTATCACAGAGAAATTACTACTTTGGGTTTTAGAAAAAATACAAACCAATGTTTAGGTGGCCTCAGTATAGAAGATCAAGGAGTACAAAGTCCTCAAACCTTTCTGGTGAAGAAGTTTTTCTTCCTACAACTGCCGTGAAAACATGAAGATCGGAGTGCTTTGAAGTAAGTTTTGACGACAGATCGCAGATTTAAAGCAGCTTTTTGGACTTAAGAAACAAAAATGGTAAGGTACATTATTACTTTGAAGTTGAATGAACTTTTGGAACAATTGGTAAAGCCACGGGCGTTAAAATGACTGCTAAAGCGGTCGGCAAAAACTAAAGCTTTCGCTTTAGAGTGAAGAATAATTTGAACATGCAGTCATGCAGCGAAGCACGTCTGTGAAATTTTGAACATTTTTTTTGTTAAAGGGGTTTCTTTGCCTCAGTGTGAATGAAAATTTATTGTTATTGAACTTCCTTACGCATTTCTTTCATTTGGTTAAAAGTGAACAGTATCTTGGACACTGGATTTCTGCATATTTAATTACAGCAACCTCCAAGCGGTTTGTTTATTTAGTTTATTCACTTTGTTGAAATATTTTTTGGAGTCTTACTCAGCTACTGCAGAACTACCAAGAAAAGAACTAAATGGCCACTAATTTAACACAGATGAAATACAACCCATCTCAAAATAATTGGCTTGTTTTTGTCGTCTTTTTGATTCAAGTTTACAATTTTCATCTTTCTTTCGCAGTGCCATAATATCTTGTCATGCGGCAAAGAAATTACTTGATTTCTTGTTTTCAGATTGATTTTTATATGAGTTCTTCGTTTTTATATTTCATTGTTAGCCGTTATAGTACAAGAATGAAATTCTGTTGTATATTGGTTTCGTTTTAGTCCTCTGAAGTCAATAATTAACTCATTTTTGCATATTCAATTTTCTCAGCTTCTGTGGGACATTTTGTCACACGATAAAGGAATAATATAATTTCTTGTTTTTCTTATCAGTTTTACACATCAGGTTGAGTTCTTTTTGTTAAAGTGCCACTAACCCCCAAACTTTTTTTCGCTAATATAAATTTCCTTTTTCTCCTGATCACCACTGCAAAAAAATTATCGTTGTAGCTATTTTCATTAATTTCCTACGAATTCTTTTCCATGTTCACGACCAAGGAAAAGTGGAGAATGGGAGGAGTTGGCTCCTGACATCATTTCGGGAATAACAAAGTTTTGTTTCTGAAAAGGATATATGCACACATGCAATATGCGTGTCAAAATCATTGCAGAATGCAAGGAATATGTGTTGTTGGAGGCAGTAGCAATACAGGATGCATAGTATTCCTCTTCATTCAATACCTCTATCGCGATGAAACTTGACCAGAAACGAGAAAAAGACCAAAGAAGTGGCCTGATCTGTGCGAAGCTAAAGCCAGGGAGCCATAGAGGAATTCTTCGATCTCGGGTTTGCCGCTACTGTAAAAAACTAGAGATTTTCATGGCCTGTATTTTCTTCTCTTAATCTCTAGTGAAAGTTTGACATTGTCAACGTACTGTATAAGACATGAATATGAATAAAAACACACACATGCTAGAGGTCGTATTCCGGCCGTGTTTCTCAATGGCCGTTCTGAATACAGAATTGTTTTGTTCCTTGAGCTTCGTCTTTGAGGAACAAATATATCTAAATTGCAAACTTAGAATGGATCAAGCATTTATAAATATATGAGGAAAGTGAAACAAACGATTAAGATTCGACTCTAAAGCTACCGACAGAGATTGTTGTGCTGAAAGAAGAATGTGCTTGTCAGTCAACTGAAACGTAAACTAATAAGTTGAGAACTCCCAGGTTATTAGCGTACGTAAACAGTAAAGCAGATAAGCATTCATTTACTGATACTACACTGAACCTCTTTTTAATATCTTGTCAAAGGATTTTCCATGATACTAGTACGAAATATGCAAATTTGTGTAGCTTGTGTTCGTACACAGTAATTGACTATGCATATACTATGGTCGGTCAACAATAATGAAGCGAAAAGTTACCTTACCTTTGGATATTGTTTGCCGACATCTCTGCTTATCTCTTATGTTTAAACTATTTTCAATCATTGATCTGGAGAAGTAGGCAAGCGTAGACTATGACTGCATCGCATTTTAACTTGTGTTTCGGGGGAAATTAATGTTTGAATCTAAAAATGTTTTGACACTTCGAAATCTGCATGTTCCTTAAAGGCAAATTAGCAACTCTTCGTGTTCATTGACATCTTTTTAACTCTTTAAGAGCTGTAAGTTAACTCTTCAGCCATTATTTGTGCCTTTATAACCGAAATGGATCAGCAAATTGTCAATCCTGATCCTGGCCTACATTACAATGCAGTGGTCTCCACTGGTGACCCGCACTTCGAAATGGAAAAAAAATATATACATCGCAGCTGTCCGGATCGTAGCTAGACTCTGAATTGTAATGCTAGATGATACAGTTCTTTCACTTAAAAATCTTGCCCAGTTTTGATAAAATATGAATCTCAAATAACCCAAAAATGTTTTGACAGCCCTCGAAGCTTAGTCACAAGTCTCGCGAGTGTTTTAGCCCGGTTCCCGAAGTGATGTCACTAGTAGCCCGACCCAGATCCCACTTTGCACTGTTGCGAACAGAGAAATTACATGTTCAAACGCCTGTAGAAACGCAGGGATTCTATCAATTGAGATAATTTTTTCGCTAAAGTAATCAGGGAAACCAGTAGATTTTATTTAAGGAAAACACATTTGCGGGGTTAATGGCACTTTAATATTTTTTAATATTTTGGCCCTTCATTTATTCAACTTTAAATAAATGATGTCTTGAAACCTGATCTTGTGTCTGTGGTTACTGTACATATGGTTTATTTTTGTGCTTTCGCTCGCACTGAAATATTCCAAAAAAAAGCCAAGGAATTAGGGGTGGGTTGCGGGCAATTTCATTCACGCTTCCATGGGTTAAAGAACCATTATTTTATAACCGGCCACAACATACCTTCTACATAAGGTAAAATCCAACAACAAGGCCATTCATGAAGATACATACAGATGGAGATACAAACAAATGATTAGATAATACTACCAAAACTTCACACACTTAAGAAAATACCATACAGGCATAAGATCTTTGGAAGGCAAAACTGACTAATATGGAGTTTTTCAAACTGTGTATAAAAGTTTCTTACAACCTCCTCAAAGTTATAGGTATTTAGAGCTCTTCTTGAATGGAAATCCAACATTCTTATCTTGTGCTTACCCTTGGGTGCTCAGCCACAATAAGGTATGACTCAATATTGTACTGCTTTAGATAAGAATCCCTCTCCTGGCCACGTCCTTCTTCAACCTCATAATCACCATTTAAACAGTTTAGTACAGAAGTTGTTATGTGCACACGTCTGGCAAGAAACAGAAGAAAGTTCACCAAATTCAGCACTTTTAATTGCCTCTCTTATTATTTAACTCAAAAAGGCACAAAGAATTTTTGAGAGAATGAAAGAAAAATATCACTTCATACAACATATACCTATGACTAACACTGCACATTCATCGAATATGAAATGAAAAATAATTGCTGCTTATTTGAAAGGCTTTTCAAAATACAGAAGAAAGGCGTGATGAACACTTCTGGTGCCAAGTTTGAAGAACACTGCTTCAAAATTTCCAGAGATATTCTTTATTCAGTATTTTACCATTTTAGTTGCAAACCTCATGATGTCATCATTTTCCTAATTTGCCTAGTACAAAAACGTCAATATCTCTAAAGCGAAAAAAGATATTCTGAAAAAGGAAATGCCATTCTTCTTTATTTTGAACAGCCTTTTTAAACAAGCAGCACGGGTCATAGGCACTTTAAACACTAATTAATAACAAGTTTGTAAAAACCAGAACAAACATCATCAATTTGTACCCACCTTCAATATTGCTTTATATGACCATTGGAAAAAAAAATTACTTTATACTTTTAAAACCAAAATAATTTTACCTATTTAAATACACCTTGATGGTGCACCTTACTAGTTCTCCACAAGATACAGACTCACAGTAGAAAATGTTAACAGTAAGTTACAATGAAACACTGAGTTCTGGACATACCCTGGAAGGCCCCCTGACTCCATATGATTTGCAGTTGTCACATCATCAGACCAGACATCATACTGCCACTTGACAAGACCCAGAACCCCACTGTGAACTTTTCCCATATGCACACCAACTCTCATGTTCAAATTAACACCTGTGGCTTCACGCACACTCCTGCAGTTATAAGAAAACAAACTTCCATAATACACAATTGCTCAAATGGTCACCTAGCCTATAATGTACATTAACAAACTTAAATTTGCACTAATCTCTGCTCCCATCTCTTGATATACCAGCAAATATTCACAGCATTCTTCCTACAATTTTAGCCTTATGTTACAAATAAAAACTTTGACTTCGAACTTGAGAAAAGAAGTTCCAACTGAATAGGACAACTCAGGACAAAAAATCCAACAAGTGTGATGGTGATGACTATGTTATTAAATACTCAGACTGATAAGAGTGAACTGACTCTGGAAAACTTAACAGTTGCCTTTTCAGCAACTGTTCTCTGGGATAATATCCCAGTAGACTTAAAAAACCTAAATGTCTCCTATTTTTCTAAAAAATTAACACTTTATTTGCTCTCAGAACAACACTTTGAAACCTTGTCCTAAAGTCTACTTTCTACATTTATTTTCTTATTTATTCATTTTTTTTAGTTCTTCTCTCCTTGATTTGTTATTTTCAGTAGTACCTTAATGAAACTGGAGGCTAACTCGTAAGCTTCCCAGTTATTTAGCCTCCAGTCTCAATATTTGTACTTTATTAATATGGGTGTGTGTGTGAGAGTTAGATATATATACTAGTAGTAATCAAACATTATGAGTGCTTTCGTCTTCTACACCTGTGATATAACTTAAGTAGCTGTCTGTTGCTGAAATCATTATCTTTGTGAACAGCTGAAGTTTTACAGACAGATATAACATAATAACAAAGTCCACTATTTTCCTGCAGATTACAGTCGAACCTCTAAGCAGCCACTCTGGGGGACAAGACAACAGGCCACTTAATAGAGGCAAAAAACAAAACAAAATCACCCTTGGGACAGCAAGAGGCTGACTGCGGCCACTTAATAGAGGTGGCTGTTGAATAGAGGTTTTTATTACAGTGTATAGCTGACAATTTTTCTGAGATTTTGACCACTGGCTGCCAAATAAAAGTTGGCCACATAATAGGGGGTATTTTGATTTCCTTGCTTTATTGTTGACACGTTGCGTGACGCCTCCAGTTTTGGTAAGTCACGAGTTTAATAGAACATTCCCCTTCAAAATTCATGCTAAAATCTCATTTTTACTTTAACTGGTAATTTTAAGCATAAAAGCTAATTTTTAAAAGTACACTGTGTTACAGCTGGTATTCTAAGCTAGCAGCACAAATATCAGCTAGCATTTGCACTCGCATGCCAGTTTATCCGTGGTTTATCCTAAACAAACTCTGTGCAACTGGCAACTGATTCGAATATTTCCACTGATGAATAGAAATAGTCAGCATTTACATTGCTGTTCCTTAGTTCTGGCTTACTCTTATAGATCTTGGCTTCAGATTACTCTTCCGTTGATTCAATTTTGAGCTTCACTGGATACTGAACTATTTGTGGCCACTGGAAATTATCAATTAAGGATGGTGCCTACTAAATACAAAGGTTTTTGCGCCAGGTTAGGACCTTGCGGAAAAAGTAGATCTTTGCAAGGGCTATCGGAATCCACAAAGA